AAATCAAATAAACAAAAACCAAACCAACCAACCAAACAAAAATAATCTTTCCATAATGACCTTCTGTATTATAAAGTTAATGGACAGAATTCACAAGGACAGTTCTGTAAAGGCCATCGCAGCATCTTAGGTCCATTGCATGCACAAGCCTGAAAACTAAACATCACTTTAACTCCACCGTGTGGTCTCACACTGACACGTACATACCATCACCAGATTCACCTCCAAGAACAACTGCACAAAAGTCCCTCACTGGAGTCAAGGGAAATATAAGTTATCCCATATTACAGCTTGCATTTGCACCAGAAACCCAAAGGATGACAAATATATTATTAATAGCAAAGACATCACAAAATTTTGCTGAAGGGAATAGAAGACTAGTATTTCTGTTTCAATTCAATTCTCTGCAAATATACATATATACAGTGTTGTGATGTAATTATTTTACAATCTTTTAATCACATCTTTCCAAATTCTTGTTCTTCTTCAGATTACATTACAGCTTTGCCCCTCTGGTTTCACTTTGATACTTCAAAATAATGTCCTGGTCCTCCCATGTAAAATTATCCCTTAGTTCAGGTATGCTAACAAGAAACCAGTTGGACCAATTCTGCGTTATTAACAGCTTCTTCTAGCTTCATTGGGTTATGAAATCAAAGCCTACATGTAACAGAGAAAGAGGAGATGGGGTGGAAGACCAAATGGGGTGAGATAGTAGAGAAGTAATCACACAGAGAAAGCAGGGGCCAGTCTCAAATGTCTGTATATAAATGCACACAGCATGGAAAACAAATGTCTGTATCCTAATGCAGAGCAGTAATGTCATTGGAAATATATTTCCAGATATGGTAGGAGACAGCAAACAACTGGAGTGTTGTGATGGATGGATAGAGGCTCTTCAGGAAGGCCAGTCAAGGAATATTTGTGGGGCAGGCATATTCTACACAAAAGAGTGGCTCAGGTGCTTAACTGTGCTGTGGAATGGGTGACATAGTTGTCAGTAGTCCATGAGTTAGGATTATAAGATCCAGGAGGTCAACAAACAGAACATCTTGATGAGCATCTGCTCCAGGCATTGAATAAGGAAAGAAAAAAAAAAAAAAGGCAAATAAAATAAAATAAAATAAAGTATTCAATTGTAAGCCTTAGTACACCCAACCATACTTATTTTTTGTTGGATACAGGCAATATAGGCAAACCTGGATATTTCTAGTGTGCACTAGGGACATATTTTCAATGTTGGTGCAGAACAGGCTAATAAGAGAAGGCAGTATGTTTTATCTGCTACTCAAAAATAAAGAACTGGTAAAGAATTGTGATAATTAATTGCAATGTTGGTGGCAATGACTGCCATGAAATGGTCAGTTAATCCTGGCTAGAGGATCCTGAGGGTAGTGAGAAAGACAAGCATTAGAATAAAAACCTTGGGGTTCAGACTAAAAGATCTTGGCTCATTCAGGGAAGAAGTAAGCAATATCCTGTCAGTGGCAGTCCCAAAATGCCAAAAGTCTCTGACAAGTAGACAAGTAGGTTGATATTGAAGGACAGCCACTTCAAAGCATGAAACCCATCACAATATGCAGGAAGTCAGGCAAAGACAGCAGAAGGTCAGCTTGGCTTATCTGTAAACTCCTGACTGAGTTCAAACACAAAAGTAGACTGAAGAAGCAGATAGGGACAGGACAGGTACCCAACATGAATGTAGTGACATTGCGTCAGCTTACAGAAATTGAGTTAAAGCTCAGCTGGAACTGAAAATCACAAGGGATGTGAAGGGCAGCAAGAAGGACTTTGATAGCTTTGACATCAACAAAAGGAAGACCAAGGAAAAATTTGGTCACTGCTGAATGGGATAGGTAGAACAGTGAAGAAGGAGACAGCAAATGCCAATATAGTCAAAATTTCCTCTCCCACATTTTTTTTTTTTTTATTTTCTGGAAAGGTCTCAACTTTTAGGAAGAGTCATCTGACTGCCAGCAGGGATTTTCTCAACAGACCTCACAATTTACTCAGTAAGTCTCTAAGGTATGCCCTCCTGTCCTCCCAGCAAAACAGCTTATTTCCACTGTGAAGAAGTAAGGAGTTTATTTTAGTGGTTCTGGTGTTGTTTTTTGGTTTTGGTTTGTTGGCTGACTTTTTTTTTTTTTTTTTTTTTGAGAGGAGGTTTGTTATAGAGGAAGGTAGTGGAGGTTAGGGTAAACCCCAATCCTAACTTTAAAACTCAGCACAAAAAAAACTTTTTACTATGGGTCCCAACAGTTTCAGCAACAGATGTGATGCTTTGTTTCCCTTTGAGTATGTGGGAAGACTTAGTCATAATGATGAAAACTCAACCAACTTGAGTTTAATAACCTCAAGAGTGCTCTTTTTACTTGAGTTTTAATATCTGCAGTACCATGTTTCTCTTTGGGAAGATATAACCAGTTGTAAAGCAAACAATTTCTATTTTGCTATGTCTCAGTAAGAGATTTTTGTTTTCATATTTTTACAATATCCATAATAGTGTTTTTTTCAGGAAGATGTATTCAATCTACTGTTTTTGTACCCCACATTTGTTCCATATTTGTGTTATGAACACTTATTCAATCATATGGAGTATAAGCCTCAAATCAAGCATTTTATATTTTGAAAAGATGACTTTTAGGAATACGGTGAACCTCTTAGAGCAACAAAGTGAAGGTTATAACTAGGAAGTTCTTTTCATTTTGCTTGACTTTTTATTTATTTTTATTTTTTTGAAAATAGCATATTCTGTTAAAAATTAGAGTATTAAACATTCATTACTGGAAGGTTTTTTTTTTGTTGTTGTTTTTGTTTTTTACTTTTTTCAATTTTTGCAGCATATACATATATCTATATATTTTTGTTTTCACTCACAGTTTTTATTTTATATGGGCAGCTAGAGTGACTAACAAAACCAACTTATACCAAGACCAGCGGAACACACTAGTAGAAAAAAAAGTGAAAGGAAACAAGTAAGTTAACTGTGGACAGTGACAAGGAGAGCAACATTATGGTTTCTCATTTTAACTGTTGACAGAAAATGCATCATCATTGCTTCTAGCAAAGACCACATGGTATCAGAGATCCCAAACTGTATGAATATTGTCTCTCTGCTTTAGTTTTAATTTAACCACTTATAATAAAATTGCTTCAATATTTGGACTTTGGGATGTTTTCCAGATTGTTGCTCAGAGCTTTTTTTTGCCTGGTTAATTGGAGCTTAGTCCAGAGCATGGGGAAGGAGAGGAGGAGACCAGCAAAGCCCTCCAGGACAACTAGCAGCACCAGCTGTCACACAAGCTGCTGGCTCTTGCCTATCCAATTGCTCGCGCAGAAGGAGAGCACTTTGTTTTCCTCTGATGCTCTTCTCTATAGGGCAGTGAGATCAATTAGTTTTCCTCCCTACCATGACAAACATTCAGCCTGTGCTGCCACCTGCTCAAAACCTCCAAAACTTTCTCTGCTCACATCACCTCAGGCACATTTGGAGTTTCGCTGTCACCCCATGTTGGGTTGAGAGCTTGGATTTTTGGAGCCCTTCATGGAATTGGTGAGGTTTTCTCTGGAAAGCCTAGATGAGTTGCTTTGACATTCTTGAAGTCAAGTGCTCTGAACTCAGCTTAATGCTCCATTTCAAGTCACTTCCAAAATGGCACTGTTATGTGGCCAGGAGCCCAAGGCTCTCTGGACTGGGTATCATCACCATAGCCAATCCTGGAGCTTGAGCAAAGGGAAGCTTGCAGAGCTTTGGAGAAATTTAATCATCTGAGGAACCTGGCCAATGAGGGGGAAATGGAGTTGTACAATACAGCTTTCATAAAGTAATGCACCTTCAAAGAGCAGTACATTTAAATTAACACCTCAGGCCAGTTCATCAGTGCATTCCAGTTTGATCCTAGCCCAACACAAATCAAATGTTTTACTTCAATGTTCTCCATTAAAAAATAGGAAGGCTATTCCAGCGTCAACATTTTCCCTAAGGAAGATTTTAAATGTGTTTCAATCACATTTTCCATTAGAAAATAATAATAATAATATTGCAGTAAAGAATGTTCTGGCTAGAAAGCCATGGCAAAGGGACAAAGCAACTTACTTAGCAGTTTTGACTCTTTCTATGCTAGTGGTTCTTCATATTGCCTTCTCCACTTTGCACAGCATGTTGCATGTTATATCATACACCTGCTCTTTTTGAGGGCTTGGAGGAAACCAGTCCCATTTCAAGTCTTGCCTGACTTAAAAGATACATACAGGCAAAACAGCAAAACTTGAGGCTGTAACAAACTCTTTTCTACTTCCTTCCTGTTTCTTTACCTTGTTTTGTACCCCCTCTCACCCCCACACCGTGCAAACACACACATATGCTGTATTAGACTTACAGAGCAAGGTTTTGACAGTGAGGGGCCTGCAGGACTAGCCTCTGCATGTAGAGCCCAGAAGCTGCCCCATGTCAGATCAGAGCCAGCTCCAGCCAGCCACAAAAGGGACCTGCTGCTGCCCAGAGCCAAGACGATGAGCAATGCTTGTTTGACCTCTGGGAGAGCAGATTTAAGAATCGGGAAAAAAACTGCTGCACAACAGAAGCTGGAAGACAGGAGTACCAGGCCTGCAGCCCCCAAGGTCGGTGTAGCAGGTGCTCCAGGCATGCAGCTGCCCATCCCTTGTGGCCTGTGGAGCAGGCTGTCCCCCTGCAGCTCATGGACCCCACATGGAGCAGATCTCCACACTGCAGCCCATGGAGGAGCCCCCGGTGGAGCAGGTGGATGTGGCCTGGAGGAGGCTGCAGCCCATGGAAAGCCCCCGCAGGAGCAGGCCTAGGGCCAGAGCTGCGGCCTGTGGAGAGGAGCCCATGCAGGAGCAGGAGGCCTGAGGGGAGCTGCCGCCCACCCGTGGGGGACCCATGCTGGAGCAGTTTGTTCCTGGGGGATGGAGCCCGTGGTACAGAGCCGTGTGGGAGCAGTTCTTGAAGAGCAGCCCACACAGGCTCAGTTCAGGAAGGACAGCATCCATGGGAGGGACCCCACAGGGAGCAGGGACACAGAGTGACCATGGAGTGGTGGAGATGAAGGGTGACTGACCACATCCCCCATTCCACTTCCCCCTGCACTGTGCCGGGTGGAGGGGGGGAGGTGGACATGAAGAAGAGAGTAGATGGGCAGAAGATATTTTTAGTTTACTTACAGTTCTCACTGTTCTAGTCTGTTATTAGTAGGCAATAAATCACATTAATTCCCTTCATGCTGAGTCTGTTTTGCCTATGATGGTAACTGGTGAGCAATTTTCCTGTCCATCTTTCAACCCATGGGATTTTTTTCATCATATTCCACCACACCCTATCCTACCATCCATTCTGTTGAGGAGGGGAAGAGGGAGAGTGAGAGAGCAGCATGATGGAGCTGAGCTACTTAGTGGTGTTAAGCCATCATACATACATACACATAAGCCACCATACATACACACACACAGGAATACATACAATTCAAAAACACCATGCAGAGAACTTTCAGTAAGTTTTACATCATAGCAATTAAAGATCTGGACATGGTACAAGGTAAAGGATTGTCCTTTATCACCAAAGACTGAAGTAAAAACAAAAAGATCTATTCTCAGGGAATATGCTTGGGCTTTTCATTAGTGTGCAGGCAGCCCAAGGAGAAGAGGTGAGCTATGTTTTATGAGGATGGACTAGTATACAGAAGGGAGCTTTCCTATCTCCTCCTCTTTTCTCCTTTTGACGGTGAAATAGTACAGTCTTGGGGATTCTTAGAATTACAGGAGCATGAGATTTTTCTCCTTCTCTGGGATAACAAATTGGATTTTGATGACTTCCATCTGCAAGACTATGTTCTTTAGATATTACGTCTTGGAGAGATTAAGTGCAACGTATAGCCTGTTCAAAAAACAGACCAAAATATGTGAATAGTGTTCTCCCACTCTCTACTGATTAAAGTTCTTCAGTATCAGCCACTGGATTCAACAAAGTTTCCATGGGATATTGATTATTCCTTAACACTCTCCAGTTATTAAGGTCTTTGTCATTCCTGTAGGCAAATATTTCTCCTTTTCAATATCATATAACAGCTAACACAAAAGCTATTGTTTTTATTTTAAGAGCATTTATTTTTGAGCTACAAAAGAAAATGGATCAATGGAGTCCATAAGGCAACAACTTAGAAGCCAGGGTGCAATACTTTAACTCAGGGGAATGCAAAAGCAGATAATAATTTTGACATCTAATTTATTAAAATCAAAACCTAACTTAAAACATTGAAGAGTCCAATCCTGTTTCTTATTCTTCCACTGATATATAAAGAGGAATGGTGCCTCATATGATGATGATAATGCACCTACTATTCCACAGAACCCCCAAATATCTAAACAACATCTCAAACTGTTACTCACACTTACAGCGTTCTCTCTGCAGCAGTTACTTCATTGGGGTTGGTAATAACATAGGCAGCACAACCTGGTGCAGAATCAGTATGGAAAACAGTGTACGTGATGAAGTAAGTGTTTAAGGCAGCTTGAAAGTGAATTCTTTCAATTCAGTGGTTATAAAATCTTCTCTTAAATCAATTTACAGCTCCTATTCAGTACAGGAGGAGCCCCGTTGAGTTAGTCAAGGGCAGCATTTCAATCAGCAGCAGAAGGCTGAAGAATTGTTTGCATTTGTTTTTACACAAAACCAAAACTGGCATCCTCATACAGCTAACCACAGAGCCAATTATGCAGTCCTAGCCCACTGATTCCTGGGAAGTGGAGACTGCAGTCTGCAGTAGAATACTCTGTTCAGTTCTTGATTGCTTACTCCTGAAGTAGATCTGCAGAATCTACTCCCAAATTTCTCATTTGATGTTGCACGCATCTCTCAGCTCTAAGAGACCGCCATTCACGAGTATACTGAAGAATTTTTAAAAGTTGTCTACAAATATGACTCTCTTTTTATGGGTCAGAGTAATTCAAGAGAAATTTGTACACACACACACACCCCAAAAAATAAACAAACAAATAAATAAACAACACCTACATATTCATTTTCTTATTGCAGTAGCTGTAATTTAGCACAGAATATTGCAAATCTGACCATGAATGCTAAGGAAATACTAATCTTATCTGACTCAGAACCCCTATCTATATATTAGATAATATTTTCTCCCCTCTTGCTTTGCATTGGAAAGATTGTGTGACAGCAATAGTCCATCAAAACATTATCTCAACTCTTAATAAGAGAAAAGAATAAAAACCTGGTATAGAAGAGCTGGTGTAGGAGGTTTGTGGTGTTCAGCAGCACATAGAGAACAGTAGAAGAACCGGGACTGATTTTACAGGTCACCATCCATAACGTTACAAAAAGAGTATTGAGTACACCTGTGGCTGGTAGAGTTAGCTACTGTGGACCAATTAGCTGATTGTCTGACTCAGCCTGAAAAAGATCCTGCCTTTTCTTAGCAGTCCTTTATTCCAAAATTCACTAACTGGCATGATTTACCATGAAATATTCCTGATGGTGACAAACTCAACTCAGTTGCTTCATAAGCCAGCAAGGCTAAGGGGAAGCACCCTATAGCTGCAAAGACAGCTAGCACAACTGATGAAAATAGAGCTATCTTTTCAAACAGAAATGAATCAAAAAACACACTTGCAAGAAGGCTAATTTTATCCCTTTCTCTTGAGTTTTCTAAAGAAAGGCAGAATAGTACTTAAAAATTTCTGCTAATCCTTTCGTATCAGGGAAGGGTTGGAGAAAGTCTTTCTTCTCCATTGCTCACCCTAAAGTATTTTGCAGGAACATTTCACCCCACACACACTACTTTTAGATGAGGACTGCAGGTAGACAAATAAGTGTTCTGTCTGCAAACACCTAAAGTACAAATGCTGCCAACCAGGTCTAAGCAGGGGAAACTAGGCTGCATTACAGAGAGAGAGAGATCAATTTGGCTAATCATTTTAACCATGTTTTTAATGGAATGGTAATGCAAGATTATGTTTGCCACTTCAAAACAAAACAAAACAAAACAAAACAAAACAAAACAAAACAGCTAAGTAGAAATATATTTCCCAGCAGAGCTATATCAAATATTTATGCTTTTACAGCTTTGCTCATGTCAGACAATATAAAGCAGCATTCCCAAGTTCAGCTTGATGGCAAAAAGAATGCTGTACAGACTGGCCTCAACACAAAAAATTAATGATATCATTGTAATTAATAAAATATTAAATAAAAGCAAAATGGGAAATGATTGTACTTTAATACAACCATGTTAATATGGCTGAATTTATTCAATTCCTTTGCTATGGGACTCTGTGAGAATTTTAATGATACAAACCATGCTAATAAAATAGATAAGTGCAGAAAATGACACATCTCTATGAGCACTCACTTTCCCGTTCTGAGACTTTCTGTCTCTTGTAGAGTCATGTCTGCAAATGAAAAATCTGTTGAAAACACTCCTCTTAGAGTTTCTAATTCCCATTTGAGTGAATGTTAATATTTATCAAAACACAAGAATTTTACTGATAAAGTTTATCTTGGAAGATAGCATTTTAGTGTGATAATCCATATGTAAGAGACTTAATATAAAAAAGTATGTATTTTTCTCTTTTACACTCAGAATGATTGACATTCCCACTTGGAGTTTTGGGAAATTATCTGGCATGTGAAAAGCTAAATGATTCTGGTGTTGTGTTCATGAGAAGCATTTTTTTATTTATTTTTTAACTGGGTGGGTAATCCTTTTAAATTTTTGCAAAATTTACTTTTCTGTGTTCCATTCAGGTATGAAGTCACCAATGAGATTTCAATGCTCATCATTTTACAGGTGAACCCAGCAGCAAGTGACTGTTTCTGGTTCCTAATGCTCACCCCAGACTGTACCATGGCATTGGGAATGATGCCAAGCAGATTCATCAGAAGGAAGAAATCAGGTCTGCAACACAGCAAGACAACAGCAAGCCTCAGAGCACCAACACAGTGAGCAGCAAAGAAGAGGGAGCACCCACCCAGCAGTTCTGCTGACTGGTGAAACAGGTTTATCCCAACTTAGCTCTTCAGGAGGCCAAGTGAATGACTGCACACAAGATTAGTGGTTGTAAACCTTGATTCCTCCAGGCAGCTGATGAGCACTAGTCCAAAGGAGAAGCTCCACCTTCTCCACGTATTCCTTTGACATATTAAGGCTTGGTTTGAGCACTGCTTCTTTACCATGGCTCTGCACATGCACATACTGGTGAATATTTTCTCTTGTTACATTTTTCCACATTTTTCCACAAAGAAATAAGACTTAGAAGCCTGGAATCAAATTTGTTCTTCTGTGTGCTTGTATCCATGAAGGAAATTTAACCAGGAAGATGCATATGGGAAGAACACTGTCATGATCAGATAAAATGGGCAAGGATAGCACTTGGCTGCACAGAAACAAATAAAAGCAGGCCAGAGCCTCTTCCTCGGCTTCCTCTATGTTTGAGATATAGCCAAGAATCTGAGCCAGAGTCTAAGATTCAGTGAGCTGCAATTATATTTTGCTAATAAAGCTTTTTTTCTTTCTTTCTTTTTTTTTTCTACTATTACACAGACGAACGTGCCAACAATATAGCTCACAATACAGCAGTAACAGGCACTGCCAATTCCCTCAAAGTGTGGCACACAGGCGATCACTTCATACAAAGACCTCACTTGGCTACAATCTGCACTTAAATCACTAGAAAAAGGAACATCGTGCAATCAGAAGGCTTAGTCCTTAAACTCTGCTAAAGAAAATAAAGTTGTCAGTATGACTGCCAGCAATTAGCTTAGGTTTAGATCAATTGACAACCTGTGTACTTATCTGATCACCAACAGTGTTTTGTGAAGCAAACCAAATTCAGGCACAAAGAACCAGTACCCAGGGACTGAAGTGCTTTCCCACTAGATCACTGGAGTTTGCTACCAAATTCAATGGAAGCAGGAAGAAATTTGCCAACTCTCATGGTTGCAATCTTTGCCTTTTGTTTCTCTGCAGCCAAAAGTGTCTTAAAAATAAATTATCCTGACTCAGATTTTATTTTTCCCCTGCAGATTTTCAATAATTTAGTAGCAGCTCTTCTAGTATATTCTTCCAGACAAAATCCTATTTGTTTTCCACTACAGAATAAGCTTGTGACCACTGAGACCAGTATTTTGACAGGTTTACCTACCATAAGTACAGTTAATGTGCTCTAACTTTTCTTCAACTTGACTAGGTATTCATCCTTTCCTGTATCATTTAGAGACTGCAAGCTCACTGAGGCAGAGACTTAAGGAAATGCCTTCAGGCAAGGCCTCCTGAATGCATTATCACAACAAAAATAAATCACTAACAATAAGATATTTGCCTAAATTACAGTTGCTTGAAGGCTGAAAACCGTAAACTTATTGTAATAAGACTGACAGGTTTCTAAAGAGTTCTGTATCAATTAGTTTTTTGTTTTGTTTTGTTTTGTTTTGTTTTAAATCAAGGAAAGAAATAAAAAAAACTTTATAAAACAAGGTTATACCATATTGAGAGCCAAGGATGAAAAGCTTTAAACTTCAGACTTTCTACTAAAAAAAGAAAAAAAAAAAAAAAACATTTGCAGGCAACATGATCTATCATGTCTGCACAAGTGTGGGAATTACTTTAATGTGTCTAACAGAAGGGCAATTTAAGGGGAATTGGTTTTGAGTACTCCTCCTCCATTAGAACCCAGCATGAAGCTTAACTTTTATCCAATGCCTGATTTGTTTTAATGCTGAATGATTCATGATGCAGTATAATTTCACGTCAGGAAAGCAGGATTCTTTTTTATTACTGTGACTAGATAACATAGACAAAAGATAATGTCAGGGTTGTTTTCTTCCTGGTACTTTAAATGCAAGCCTGATTACACTAATTTGAATCTAGGAATTATTTAATATTAAATACTGTGAACTAATGCATAGTTTTTCAGCTAGATATCTTTGCACATTACAAAGTGCCCATGCAACTTTAGCTGCCTTTGCAAGTTAGATCAGAACTTTGCAAGTTTGACCTCTGCAGATTGCCAAAGGTTTCACGGTTTTTCCCAGGGTCTCATAATGCAAAGCAAGAAACATCTTTATAGGAAAGCAAGGTGTTTTCCTCTTTTGGTAGCTCTCATATCCTAGCTTCTTGGCTTCAGAGTGATGTCAGCCACATGCTACACAATACTGTGGAAGAAGCTGTTTTCCAAGGGCCTACTTTCCCTTGTAATTTTAGCAGCTACTTATATAGCAAAAGTGACTTGGCACAACAGACATCGTGCAATTACTCTGCAGTTGTTATATTCTTATTTTCTGGATACATTCAACAGTAGCATTAACTTGTAGCAAGTACTTTATGCTAGTTTTAATTATTTTCAAGGATCACATCTTGCGCATGCATAACTACTTTTTTTTGATAACCTCTGGATCAGGAGGTTAATTATGTGAGAAACTAATCTGTAAAAAATATGTTATGGTAAAATGCTACTCAAGAGTTAGAAAAAACACCTTCCTTGGACTGGACCTTTCCACTCTAAGGGAGTAATATATGACAGAATGAGATTCATCTTATGTACATTAGCTGTCTAAACTAAATCACACAGACTTTTTAAAATGGAGAGGGATAAGTACCAGCAGAAGGAGTTTCCTTCCATTTGCATTTTTACAGGGAACCTAGACTTCAGGGAGTTAACAGTGGATCAGAGTCATCTCACTAACAAGCAGATAGACAGGACTGGAATTATTTAGTCATGACTTCAATTTACCTAAAAATTCAGTCTCTCTCTGTCTACAAAAATACCAGTACACGTAATTGGTAATTTTGTAATAGAATACGCCTGGTAAATGAATGATACGCTTTTCTGATTAGCATCTACAATATTACAGACACTGCTCTTCCTCCCTAAACAGGGCAAGTATGTCCATAAGCATCTCATTTTGGCCACAGACAAGCTCATATTCTGAAGTATGTGAAGCACAAGCCGGAGTCATTTCTGTTTCAAGCAGCTTCTGCTGTCATACAAAGGCCTTTTTTGAAAATATAGGCACTGCTACCAGGTTGCAAGGGGAGCAAATGTTGAACCCAAGAGGATATAGTCACTACATTTATACTGAGGTGCAGATATGGCTGGGAGGCCAGATTTCCTGACTTCTTGTTCAATCAGTAAAAGCCAGTGGTACCAGCTATGAAGCAGCTTTTCCCAGGGACACCACCTGCCCAACAAAATGAGCTGAAAGGTTTGCTCATGAACCTCCATAAGCTTCATCTGCCCTCGTGGACCGTTTCTGTTAAAGAAGGTCACCCAGGCACCTTTCTGAGGAAACCCCCTACCTATGCATGTAAATGCATCTGTATTGCCAAAGCTGCTGCATTTACAGGCTGTTCCTGAGACTCCTCTAACTGCTCCCAGGATCAGCTAGCTCAGTAAAAAGCCACATGAAGAGATTAATTTGCAGGCAGCGTTCTTTCATTTCTCATTGCTGACTGAGGAGTAGTTAATATGTAACCATTGCTGGAAGAGATAGTGGAAAACTCTTGAGCAATATTTTCTCTCAACACCTTGAGTAAACAGGTCAATCTCCAGGA